GATTTCCTTCCAGAGCCGGAGCACATTAGAATATTAACAAGGAGGTGCCATTCCCTTAAACCAGGGAAAGGGGTTAAGCAGGAGGCTAAGTGGTGGTGCGTGGCTGCTGGAACTTGGCTGTGGATACCTGTAAAACAAGCAGGTAAAGAGGATTCCTCTAGCTGAACTGGAAATTTGGTGGATTTCTGGTTCAGCCAGTAAGGGCAACATCTACCAGCAATATTTAGGGCTTGCCACAAAAGGGTGGTTTTTGAGCGGAGATATCCAGAATAATTATTTTGAATTCCTGTGGATTCATATTCTCAGGAATTCTGACACCCCTGGCATTATTCTGGAATAGCTATTCCACTTTATGTTCACATTGCACTTATTCTGGAACAATTTGTACAGTCAGAAATCACAGGGATTCTTGCTATTGAGCTCACTGTGCTAGGATTGCACTGAACATATCCCCACTCCATCCTTCTGCTCTCTAGAAACATTTTGGGGGGAACTAGGAACAAAACAGACTTCACACTTCTTTAGATTTTGTATAAGACTTCCTTTATTATAAATAAAGCTGCATGAGAAGATCTATACAAATTCAACAGTGTCCTGCTATAAAAGCAGCGGTTTGAGTACAGCATTGTCAATCAAGGAAGACCTTAGTTTGGACAGTTGTGGTGTTATTGCCCATCTCAGCTGCATTGCCAAGGTTGGTCTTCATACTACAGTTTTGCTTCTGAGCTAATATATTACACCCCCCAATCCTAAAAAAAAAAGACAAGTAATAAATAAAGCTATTTACTACGTAGGATCCTGTGAGAACTAACCCCTCAATGACCAGCAGCTAAGCTGTTACAAGTGGGTAAAGTCTCATTTCTTCACCACAGAGAAAACGTTGCAAAGGCTTTGCATTAAAACCGTCTGGTGAACAAGCACCAAATCCTGCTGCTTGAATGCTGGATAAAGTTTTGGATCTCTCTGCTGAAATACATCTTTATACCCCCATAAGACCTGTATACAGAGCAAGCTGGAGAGAGAGAAGCCATATTCTATGGTTGCCACATACCCCAACAGCTCCCCTCAGAAGACATTCAGCTCCTGCAAAACAGTAACAACCTTAGACCAAGACATTTCCTAAAGGCAAATGGCTCCTGAGGCTATGTTGTAGATGAGTGGCTGCTATCAAGCCACCACTAATTCCATTGCTTTGACAGAGCCTATAATAAAATATTAAAACCACAAGTTGAGGGTGGAGGCAGTGGTTGGAAACCAGCGGAAGGCAGCAGGAGTTCATCTGTTAGATTCACTTGGTTAGCAAAGAGCAAGAACAGCACTGAGACACAAGAAAGAGGTCCGGGACAGGCAGTTTACCCTTCCTTAGGATCTCTCACAGAGATACAGGCATGTTTGCTGTTGCTCTCAACAAAGAGATGTTGTATGTTTGTTACTCGTGTCATATGCTGTTTGGTTTTAAAAGAACGTTATTCACTTTAAACCACAAACCCCCACTTCCACCCCCACCCTTTAAAGCTGCTTCCTATGAATGCCCAGCCAGACTTCAATCAAAGCAGAACTGAACATGGGCGGCACTAAAAAGTCTTAGGACATTTTTACTGGCTGACAGCTGATGGAGCTGAACTGTCTTATAAACCTTTTTTATGAAATGTGAGTGTGGCCTTTTACTGATAGGGCTAGTAGTTGGTGGGCAAGATTTAATACAGGAGAGACAAGGTAGTCCAAGGAATGTGCCTCACATGATGGCCTCCTTGTACCGCTGCAGAGGTCTGATCCAGAGAAACACTGTGTACCCACACCTCCTCTGATGGGACACGTATATACCTCTGGTATATATACTGGTATATGGCTTGCAAAGAAGATCTCTACCCTCAGGCTTACTGGAGCACAGCTTACAATCACAGAGCACTTCTCCCCCCGGACGGGTATGAGCGGGTTCCCTCACAGCCTAAATGCACAGAACAGACCTCTTAAAAGGTTCTCAGTGCAAAACGAGCATATTGCATGTAGGAAAATTAAGCCAAGCAATGTGCTTTCAGGGGAATCAAATCCAGAAATTCCTTGGTTCAGCTCCAGCTTGGGTTCAACTAAACCTCATGGGAACACTTCAGGGTCAGTTTGGGCTTAAGAGAGAACAGGTGCACAAATACAGAAAATGAAGAACAAAAGATTCAATCCACTTATCAGTTTAGGTTCCCTTTGAGTCTGAGCAGCAGTGCTCGGAGCTGTGTAAAGACGAGTTTAGGCATGTTTACAAGCCTGTGGGACTGGCGTTACAAAGCTTTGTTCTGACATTTTAACAGGGGAGTTACCTTATTCTGTTCAACAGCCTTTTCTTCTCATCCTCCCCCTGCTCAATGTACAAAAGTTATTTTTCAACCCTGAATGTCATTTCCTGAGAGACCTGGGTCACAAATTTGTTTCTGTTCTTTGGACAGGCTAAATTTAGACTCCTGACAGGAAACAGCAGAGAAATTTTTATTTCTCTCTGGTTGGGCTGGGAACACATTTAGAAGCAACTCTGACCACAACTGCTTCAGCACGACCTGCCTGCCGACAGCCCATGCAAAGCTGGATCTGCTACAGGCAGTGTGCAGTAAACCTGGGCAGGTAAAAATGGCAAATTGCTTGGGTTTGCAAACAACTTACACAGCTTCCAATGTAGCCTCCAGGCTCCAGTGTTCACCCACCCTCCCTGTACCTCTGCTTGTCACTACCTGCTTGTCGTGTCCCCTGAGATTGCTCCTGCCCTCTTTTCTACTGGGGAAGGCTTGCTTGGTTGTACTAATGAAAGCCAGGGGCTTACAGCACTCATTAGCGTTAGCAATTAGTCCTGCCCTGTTGCTCTGCCGGCCCTGGCAGTCTCCCAGGCACTCATCGCCAAGGGTGCTGAAGCAAGCACTGATGATCCAAGACTCTTTCCTACTGGCAAGGAGGAAAAGAGCCACCAGCCTCTTCTCTCCCATTTTGCTTCCTACCCCTTACTTTCTGCTCAGAAACATTACTTAACCACCCTATAGCTATGATGATAAAAGCCAAGGGGAGCAGCAATTTGAGCGAAGAGTTCCCTGTCCCCACCTGTGCTTTCTTATAAACTAGGTGTGGAAACGGGAGTTACAGCTTTCTCTGCCTTTGTGCATGAAATGTCCCTCACTGGTGGAGGGACAGACAAAAGCAGACATCAAGGAAGCGGTGAAGCGGTTTTTACCAGGAAAAGGGAAGAGAGGACACGTCTATAGAGAGTTTGCTTACCAGGCTGGATAATAAGCCTCATGCTGTATGCTGTTCCCAGTAGTGATACAGGACTAAATCTTCTCTCTGATGCATGTGATAGAGAGGATTGATAAAAAGGGACCTGTGGAGTCATGGTAATATCATCCCTGATGGGTCTCACCACCCAGAACAACTATCCTCTTGTAAACAGGATTCAGAGAAGCCCTAGTGTAAAACACTGCAGGAAATCCTAGTGTAAGAAAATGGTAGAAAAGGCCCCTTAGCACTGGAGGCCAGGCCTCTGGGACCAGCACAAAGCACATCTGCACTGAGGCCCTGGCTTGGATCCTGCACGAAGCACACGAAGGAGGGTGAGGAGCTACTGAGCCCTCTCCTCCAGCAACGCCACCTCGCCAGGGCTGGGCAGCCCACTGGCACAGCACTAACATGCTGCTTCCTGAGGGAGTTCAGGCATCTCCATTTCTGCATTGTGTTTTTTAGCACATGCCTCGAGATTCCCACCTGGCTTGAAAGCCTGCAGAAGCTGTCATTTTCCCATCATGCTCCCGGCTCAGCAAATTACGGTCTGCTAGCAGCAGTTCCTCAGAACCTCATCAAAGCAGCAGTCTTTAAAAGGATTGAGGACGACCTATATGGAGGCAAAAAGGTAGCTTTTGCCTGGGTATCTGGAGCAGAAGGGATGCGACACAGACCACAAGGCAGCTGCAGACAGCGCTGCCAAGCTCTGCTACATGTGCACCTCTTTCATCCTCTCCTCCTAACTCAGAGCCATCCTGCTGGCCTTGGCCTCATTAAAACCATGCTGGGAGAGTCACATTCTCATTTGGAGGGTGATTGTTCCCTCCTGCTACCAGAGTGCTGAGATTGGCTTCATTACAGGATAATTTTGAAGAACTGCTTCTTTTATGAAAGCAAAACCTGTAGCAGTCCTTTCTCTCTTGGCTGTTCTCAGCCTTGCTGCCCCAAGGTAAGGAAAACAAACAAATAAACCAAAACAACAGAACCCAATAACGGTGTTTCTCTTTTATCTAAGGTAAAAAAGGTTCCTGTCCATTTATCTATGGAAAATAGCCAGGAATATAACCCACTAGCCATGTTACCATGAAGAAAATGGAAGAACACTCGAACGAAATGGTCTGAAGACAAAGACCCTACTGCCTGCTCTGCTACATCCTCCCCAAGGAGAAGAAATGTGCAGGGTGCAAGGGTGTTTTTGAAGGACAGGACAAGCCATTTAAAGTACTGCTGCAAGTCCTATCAAGAAGGCTGTTTTTATAACTACAGTTACCTTTCAATTAAAGAGCTGTGGTTGATCTAAGGATCTCCATCCGGTCCAGGTCTTGTGCATGACCCTCCTCCTCACATCAGCACCCAGTCTTATGTTGCGCTCCCCATTGTTCCTGCTGTCTGCAAGCAGACAGGCTCCTGCGATCCCAAAATCCTGTCTCTGATTACTCCACCCTTTTCTTATCTCCCCCTTCCAAAGGAAATGAAGTATTTGGCCACCACCACCATTTGCATTGCAGGCATCTGAATAAATTAGTCATATTTGTTGCTCACCACCACTGTAGCGTGACTGAGGCACAATAGAAAAATATATTCTTAGCTGCATAAAACCCAGCCAGCACACCACTGGAGCAGAAACTTACTTTTATACCACGTCTTCCAGTTTCTCCCTATCCTCCCCCCATCCCCTCTCCCCTACTGCAGAAACCATGGCCCAGGACCGGTTCAGCTGCAGACAAGAAGCTGTACTGGCGAAGTCGGTTGTCTCCAGGAGGCTTCAGAAAGCTGCCCTCTGGACTTGTGCTTAGAGGAACAAGTGTTTTCCTGCTGGCTTTGGTTAAAGGGAATCCTTATGGATCCCATTGGTGTGTGCAAGGGGAATGTGCACCGTGTACTCATTTATCAGTGCAGACATGTTCCTGAGCATCTCATGGAACGTGTCCACCGTCTTCCTGTAAACATCCCTGCGTAGCACAAAGGGACGGAAAAGGTTGAGAGGCTCAGCCCTCTGGAATATGATGGGGAAGCCCAGCTCTGCTGGTACCTTCCCATTGCCAATGAAGAAGTGGTAGAGCTTCTTCTCATGCAAACATTTCTCCAGGAATTTCAGCAAGTCCTGTAGACGGGCCTCCAACTTCTCTGGGGCCCAGTCCTGACTGGGACGTGCCTGCAGGAGATGCAGCATCACTGTTTTCAGGTGGTAGTTGGTGAGCCCGCTTGGACCTGTGAGGCTGCACTGCTTCCCATGGAGGAAGGAGAGGATCTGAAGGCAGCTGACATGGCAGGCGTTAGCAGGCAGCGTTTTGGAGACCAGCTGGATGAACCTCCTCTCATACACTGCAAAGGTGAGAAACCAGTGAGTGCTGGAGGGGAGGTCTGCTGCCAGGCCCCTCCGAGGGAAATGAGAGATGAAGTAAACGTCAGAGTTCTCATACTGCACCACCGGGGTGAGGTTGAAGGCAATTGATTTCCCTGACCTAAATTTTATCTTCAGGGCTCCTGGCGAGTCCAGGAGGCTGAAGGAAAGGTCGAATTCGTACTTGTGGGAGATTCTGTTCCAGGCCTTGGTGACCGCGATCTGAAACCACTTCATGACTTGGTCGGCATCCAGATATTGAGTATTTTTGAAGCACAGGAGGTCTTCCATCTCACTGCTGGGCCTGGTAGTATTGGCTTTGCTATGGAGGAGGCACAGCATATCTTCCCCTAGTTTAGTCTTGTCACAGATGCAACCTGTCACATCCTCATCTGCCCTGCATACCTTGATAGTGCCATAACCTTGTTCATCGGGGGGAAAACAGTCGCCAGAGCACCAGGTCTGGGACCGGAAACAGTATGGCTCTGGGGGGGCAAAAGGCACTATCAGATCACAGACAAAAGGTTTACGCACTCTCCAATTCTCATACATGCTCCCCACACCCATGCAGTCCTCCACTTCCATGTCAGCATCCCGGTTACAAACACTCCTCAAGGCCTCCAGCAGGTCATCTGCAAAGCCTTCCACCATCTCCCGCATCCTGGCCATGTCTCCAGTGGTACCCAGGATACGCTTCTCATAGAAGCTGGCCAAGACAGCCTTGTCAGGGAAGGCCACTCCTTTAAATGCTTTCCCCAGGACAGCCATGTCATCCTCTTCTCCTCCTGTGTCCTGCCAATTCCCTTCCTGGAAATCCTGCCTCCAGAGCTCGATCAGCAGAAAGATGACCATGGAAAGGGCAGTCCACATATCCCATCGGACCTTTTCCTCTTTGCTTTCCTCCACTACCTCTGCAGCCTTCTCCAGAGCCTTCTGTGTGGCTTCCTGGTCTGCTATTTCCTGCTCCAAGCGCAACTGCTCCAGCCGAAGGCTCTCCTCCCGCTCCTTCATCTTCTGGATGATTTCTTCCGTGTTCTCGGGGACAGTGCCATTCTCTTTAGGGAAGAGGAGCGGGTGGTTGACAATAGCTGTAATCACCACTAGGCACACGCGGAAGATTCCCACGGGCATGGCAGTTCCTTCCCTGGAAGAGAAAGAAAGGCAGAATGACCCATAATTCGGAGTATGTTCCCTCAAGAAGAAAAATGAAAGAAACTCCCCATTTGAATAAAAGCTTTGGCATCCTTTCTAGCCCTGAAAAAACTGCTAGAGTCTAGAAGCTCCTAAGCGCGTGCCTGTTCCTGCAAGTTATCAACCAAGCTTCCTAAAGAGACTTTATCAGCAGACAGTGAGGATGAAAGTGTCCTCTTATCAAATTAACTTAGAACAACAGAACTGTGAAGGCGCTTGCTACTGTCAACCCACTGTGATGCTGTTGGGGCAGTGTGGGAGGGCATGCCCTTCCTTCCTCCTTTAAAGTTCTCAGGAGAGAAAGGCAAAGAAGCAGGCAGGACTTCCCCAGATGTAAAAAAGCAGGGCTGGAGGTGACCACTGCTTTCCCTCAACAGAAGGCTAATGTCGCACATGTGGCAATGGCATAGGCAGGGCTGTTCTGGCCACCTTCCGTGTAAAGCATGTCTGGGGACCCACACAGCCTGCTTGGATCAGAGCAATCTTCACTGCCAGTGCTGGTTATGTGCACCTGGGTGGGAACAAGCATGCATGGTTTCGTGCTTCTAAGCAGGCACTAGAGGCAAAGCTCTTCCTGCCTGTCAGCACCATCAGGATCAGGCAGTGGCAAACCCTCCCGGCCCCCAGGATGCCTAATGACTGTGGTCCCTGGAAAAAGGGCAGAGACAGAAAGATTGCTAAACTGGAAAGGGTTTCCTTTAACCCAGTGGTTTTAAAAGCATCGGGTTGTTTATTTTTGGTGCTTACTTCACTATTAATCTGTGGAAGACACTAGTAAACACCATGGCTTTGATCTAAGCCATCTTCCCCAAGCACCCCCTTAACAGCTGTGCTTGCAGCTGCTCACTCCTTTTTGAAGTAACCTTAAGCGTGGCTGTGACGACACACCCCGGGTCTTGGTGTCACTGCGCTTGCCGCAGGCAACCGTGTGCCAGCAACAGTCCCACATGTAACCCCTTGCACAGGCCCTTGGCATGACCGAGACTGCTATGGTGTTTTGGAGTTGCTTTGTATGGTTACTGGCTCTGCTGCTCGGACCTCACACTTAATAAAGCTTTCCATGCCATGGGGCTCATGATGAAAGAATTTAATTCCCAGCTTTCTGGGACACGGTCCCACTGCTGGGACATCTGACGAGGCCTCCCAGAGATCTGGGCCAGAGGGTGCCCAGGCTAAAGCCTGGGCTGTTTCGTCCCAGGTGGCATTTCTGTTTCTGGAGGGCTAGCATCGCTATCAAGATCCCAAGCACCTGCTCAGGGCAGGACAATCTGTGGTTGTCACCACAGCTGGTATGTGGCAAGCTCACCAGTCCCTCTTTCTAGCAACATTACCCCTCAGTCCTAGCACAGGGAGATCAGAAGGACAAGACGGACAAGAAGGGGTATTTCTTCTTCCAGCTGGAACATTTTAATGCAGCTCCTTTAATGCCTCAAAAGTGTGTTTGAGAGAAGAGGGTTTCTGTTACAAAGTCTATCCATAAAATACCTAATCAATCAAACCAGAAAGAGTAATCTCATTCCTAACAAACCAATTCAACCTGCTGCAGAAATGAGGCTCTTTCACAGAGAGCCAAGAGATCGTGAGGCACCATGTGTGCACCGGGAGCTGAGGGCTGTAATTTTCTCCTCCTGCAATAGCTCCTTCCTGGCCTGAACCCAGCATGTTTTGGTACCACAGCAACCCTGCTGTCCCAGCGTCTGGGCAAGGAGGAGAAAATCTCTGGCAATCAAATTTATGCCTCCACGGGGCATGACATAAAGATAGATCCATCCCAGTGGGCCTTGTTATCATTACTGCACAACAAACTCCTAGCTTTCGATTGCAGGAACCTAGATTTCCTCGATGTGAGCACTTACTGTACATGGGAACTGTATCCTTCAGCATGCAATTATCTTTGCTTACAAGAGGGCTGGGACTGGAATAATAAGGGAAGGGAACAGGATTGAGATGCATTGTCCAAGCAGCAAGAAAATTCACGTGGTGCTCAGGATAACGCTACGTGCCCCTCCCTCTGTAACATTTACTAACTACCCTTTTTTTAGATCCCATGTACATGCATAGATGCATGTCCTTATACAGACATTGCTCTGGAGATGGTTTGCTGGCCTTTCTTGTCCTTTTTACATTTACATTAACTCTCTTTTACATTTACATTAACTCTCTAATTCATCAGGCAATTAATTAAAGCTGAATTAATGCCCAAAGCTGGGTGTTCCAGTTATTCTGTGAGCTCCATGCCTGGCCACATTTTAAAAATAAACTGGGGTCACCCTGCATTGCAAAGGGCTTTATCAGTTTGCCGGGGCAGGGCAGGAAGCGCTGGTGAGTTCCTTTCCTTAGTCTACGCTCTTGTAGACCACGTGTGCTTTCCAAGCTTAAAAATAACATGGCCAAGGGCCAGGTGCCTCCTCTTGCAGTCTTGGCCAGGACGACATTGCTGCTCTGCCCTGCTAGACCTCTGTCCCTGCGGATGAGATGTTTTGCTGTTACCGGATTACTTCTTAGATGCATAAGGCTGAAAGAAGTCAGCTTCCTTAGGATCTTCTTGTACCCTTCAAGACTATCCCGTGCCCAGCTGCCCATGGGCACACCACTTCCAGAGGTTACCTGTCCTAAAGCCCTGCTAGCAGAAGGGGTTAGGCCAGGCATCCGCAAGTCCATCACTGGCCAGATCAGCTGAAGTCATTCTAAGTTACACTGATAGTCTAGGCTACCCCAGCTGATTTTGCAGGAGTAAGTTAGGAACCACGCGCACAACCTTTTCCCCCAGCAAACTCTACAAGCATCAACCTCTGGAAGACAGTCAGGATGAAAGCTGGAAGTGATAACATCTTCAGGTCACATGAATTTGCAAGAGGCATGTCTGTTTTCAGCCTGAACAGAGGAAGTTTTCCTGGTCAAAACTGCCCTTTTGCTACTGTAGCTATTCGCACCAGAAAATGAAGCCAAACTTTAACCCCAATTAAGGCTTAAGGTTAATCATGCTCAGTGACCAAGGTCGGCAGAGCCTGGCCTTGACAGCAGCAAGGGTGGTACAGGCAGAGCATTCCCACACCTCATCAGGCACAGCTTTCCTGGCTAATATGGAAAGACTAAATAACACAGGTGAAACCAGTAGCACTGCCTGCTAGGGCGGTCCAGCCTTCCCCATAACAAAGGCCGCTCTTTTTCCTTGCTTTTAACTTCAGCCCAAGCAATTTAAGTCTAATAAAAATATTTATGCCTGCTCTGGCTGAGACAGCTTTTGTGTGGGGAAGAGGGAGAGAGTCCAAATGTTTCCAAGCTGGAGACTAAGAAAGAGAAACATCATTATTTCATCTATGCATCCAATTTAGCAACATTTCAAGCATAAGGAAGAAAAAAGGTATTAATGAGTTTTTAAACAGCAAGTTCCCAAAGTCATCTTTGACCTTTTCCAGATGTCTGTCCCTGCCAGTTTTTTCCCATTCAAAACACAGGCAATGCCTAGGCTTGGTAACAGGCTTACATCTAACTGCCTTCTGCTGACCCTCTTGCAGCAGTCCCAGGGCTCCAAAGACCCCACTGAGGGAGGGCACTGTGGTCCTTACCGCATCACAGGCAGGCCGTGTCTGTGAGCAGCCGAGCCTGCCCTTGCCCTGCTCCCCAGGCTGGGGTGTCCCTGGGGTGAGAGAGCAGAGACCCCACCTCTTGTGCTCCCACATGCACAAAGCAGGGAAGGGAGCAGCGAGGCTGAGGAAAGCCGCTCAGGGAAGGGAGGAGGGCTGGGAGCAAGCAGGTACATGGAGCCCCAACGTCCCTATGCAAAGCTCCATCTCTGCTCACTGCCCAGCATGTGATGCTGCTTGTTCAAACCCGACCCTAGCACCAGAATTAGTTTCCTTCTGGGCTTTTCTGTGGCACTCTGCTTCAGTGACTGGGTGCTTCACCAATTTTAAGGTTAACGACTGCTCTGAACAACCCTGGGAAGTGAGGGGGCAGGCACCATCCCAATCTCCAGCTGCAGAGCGAGGGCTCAGAGAGATAAAAGCAGCAGATCGTTTGCTGCACAATTAGAAACAACGATCAGCTGCATCCTGCAGCACTTGGTATGTTCAAAGGCTTCACCAAGAGCACCTATAGCCCTCTACCCTCAGCTCCCAGGCAAGTTAGGCCTCATCCTTCAAGTCTGAAGCAGCGTCCCTGGCTGGAGGATCCCGATCAGCCCCACAGCAGGTCCTGGATGATGCGGGGAGCCCCAAGAGGGGAAGGGGAAAGATGACACTGCTATCATGCAGTTCAGGTTGGTGCCATGAAGCCACATGCAGAAGGAGGGCAGCTTTCACACTCAGCTGATTTGAAAGCCCTTTGCTGCACAGTTCAGTAATGTTTGGTTCACCTGCTTGCCTGGAGCATGGTTACAGTTAGCATATTGCAAGGAAAGGGAAGCAGCACATGAAGCTCACAGGCGCATAAAGCCATCACACAGCCAGGCAGTGGCTTGCCTAAGGTCAAGTGATGGCTGGAAAGCACCCTCTGCATGGGGATTTTGAGAGCTGCCTGAAATCCTCTTGCACACACATCATAAAAACCAAGGGGTGAGTCTGCCCAGCAAGTCTTGCCCCAAAACTGCCACTGGAAAAGACTCTTCTCCTTTGGCCACATTTGGGCAGCACCAGCCACACCAAAGGCTGGAGCTCAGAAAATGGTCCCTCAGGTGAGACCTGACTCGTCAGCCATGCTCAGCCCCTTGGCATTGGAGCAAAGGCAGAGTCAGAGCTCCTCACCAGCACAAATTAAGCCCCTTAAGCTGAAAAACTGGTGCTGAGCTCTGCAAACCAGCACTTGCTGTGCCTGCAAATCTGCAGTAACTGTCTCCATATCATCTGCGCTACCTGGGTCCCTGCACAAGTGGCCTGGAAGGAAAATCATCTGCAGAGATGTGGTGGTTTTGGCTGGGATAGAGTTAATTTTCTTCATAG